ACCTTCAAAGAATGGGTAATACCTTCTTACTTTCTTATGTTGGAGGATCCACCTTTTGGTGGCAACCACGAAGACAATAAGTAGATATTACACACTCTAATATGGCTCTTGATACCAATTGTTACGGAATACAGCTATCAGATAAAGCAAAATCGCAACTGATAATTTGAGAAAATAAAGATGAAGATAAAGAAGACACAAATTTACATGGAAACCCCCTTAATAATATAGGGTAAAAACCACGGGCAAAGATAAAAGAATTTCACTATGAGAAAATAGGAATTACAACTTCTCTCGATCTAACAAGTAGAAAACAATGGCAATTCTCTCTTGATAAAAAAGAGAAAATAACTCTCAAGAAAACTCTATAAATTCTCTAGTATTAGGAGAAAGCTAGAATGATTTGGGATGGTTTTGAAGCTAAATAGGTTAGGGTACTTATAGTTAAAACTTAAAGACTAATCTTGTAAATATCATAAAGTATAGGGACTAATTTTGCAATTTTTCCCATGCCAAAAGTCATCAAAAACTGCTGTCTAATTTTGACACTACATATTCGGTGCCAAACTTTGCACCATTCGGTGCCAAACCTTGACTTTCAACATAAATATTCATTATTAGAAAAATATTTTTAACTAAATTTGTTTAATCTATAATATCAAATTCAAAATTCAAATATTATTTAAAAAAATTAAAATCTAGTTTCACTAGACCAATATATAATCACTAACACTATTACAATTTCAATGAATCAAAGTTTTTAAATATAATTTACTGCCTATAAAAAATATACAAATACAACATAAATACGCTCCCTCTTTTTTTCCTTTTACGTTCATTATTTACTTTGTTACAATTATCCTAAATTGACCCCTTCCCCTTACTTTATTTTTCAAAATTGCTCCTATATTTGTAATCATTTTATATGGTAATTTTTTTACTCATAAGAAAACAATGTAATTTTTCACTTTATCCTTTTGATTTTAAGCCTTCGTCTTGATTAATTGAAAATATTTTTTTTTAAAAAAAGGGGCTTTATATGATTGAAATAGAACGATACCATACAAAGTATGATTGAAATTTAGAATAATTAATAAATAAAGAAATTAGAAACTGTCACAACCCAATTTAGAGGCTAATTTTTTTCTTAAACTTATTCTGAGGATTAAATTGAAATTCTAGTTAAATTTGGGAGCTAAGTGAAATTTAATTAAATCAATATATAAATACCAAGAACAATAAAAACTCAGGAACCTATAGCATAATTTTACCATTTTCTATTTAGGTTGAGCTAAAAATCTTCCCAAACCTAAATTTTCCATTTTTAGTAACTCCTTCCTCCATAGCTTTCTCTCTTCTAAGTTTTTCTTTTTAGTAACTTTTTTCAAGAAGGTTCTACCTTCGTTTTGTCGCCGATCAGACCTCTGTTTGTTACACCGATAGCACCATGGTGTTTCTGACGTTAATAGGAATTGACTGGTGTACAAGGATTTATAGTTGGCGTCATCGTGAAGGGAGATGAAGCGAATGAAGTATCAGGTGTTCATAAAATCACCCCTCTGTCGTTTCACGTCGTGAAATAACATCGGTAAGTGACTCAAAATCAGTTAAAATTGAATTCTTAAAAAAATGATTGTCGTCCGGCCACCGTGGGCCACTACACAAGCTCCACGCGCCGCCCCATGCACATAGGCTTCGTCTGTCACTTGGAGAGTATTCTGAACCGGTTTGGACCGATCTGTCTCAATCGAACTGAGCCACTGAGTCGAGCCGAGCCGAGCCAAGTCAAGTTGGTGTTGACCCATTGACCAGGCTTTGACTTTTTTGGGACCCCCTATCTTTAGGTTTATTGACGCCCTGAGTTCGTTTTTATGGTTTGTTTCACCAAATTCAAATCCGGTAAGCTGTTTTTCAACATTTTAGTTTCCTATTCGATATGATTTTCGCGTTTAAGCTTCATTTCTAATGTAATTCTTTTTGCTATGTATTTGAGATATTATGGGACGTCGAATTTAAATTCAATAAGGATCGAGTAGTGTTAAATGACCAACTGATATAACTAAAAAATTGAGGTAATACTTTACTACCCTATGTATGCTTTACGGTAAATGTTGATAATTGGTCAATTCATGAATAAATATAAGTTGGATAGGTGTTATGGTTGGTTATTCTGAACCTACTTTGATTTCAGTATAATGTTAGTAAATTGATTAAGACTCGAATTGACCTGTATAATGAACTAGAGGACTAGTATAAAATTTTAAGTTGAGTAAAGTTAGCCTCTGAACCATAAATTCTGATTTTTCCTGTTAGAGTTTTTATACCTTAAATACTTGGATGAGAAATGATGAAAATACCCTTAAGGTTTAAAAAGAACGTGGATTGCCTTTAATGGTGGAATTAACCTAAAAATTTGTACTTGGTCTATTAGGACTACCGATTTATTTGTTAAACTCCTAATCTGTTTGGAGAATTTTTTACGCTCATTTTTTAACCTCTGAGAAGGCACGATCTAAAACTTCTAATTTTTGAGCAACTCCTAAAGACTATTTTACCGAAAGCACTCTATATGATTGAATTTATTAAAATGATCAAATTATCCCTAAACTTTAGAATGACTAAAATACCCTCAAGTTTTGGAATGACCTAAATACCCTTATGACTAAGATTAAATGAATGCCTTTAGATAAGTTATAAAAATATTGATATAGCTTAAAACGATGTAACGACCATAAGGATTATGGAGTACAACATGAGTATATCAGCCTTTCCTAATACTCTTACTCAACAAGGATAAGAATAGATAGCATATGAATAAAATTTGTGTCTCATTGGGATTTGTTTAAGAAAGATTTGAGAAAATGAATTCTTCAACTTCATAATGTAGTCGGTATTAAGGAATCAACATCCGTGAAGTGTTCCTGTAAGAGTTCTTGGTAAATACCACAATGATGAGACTTATGTAGTTCGATTGGATGTGGGAATCGATTAAGTCGTTAGAAATATCGAATATTGTAAATTGCCATTCATCCTTATTAAGTCGTTTTACCAAAGTTTCTTCGAGAATCAAAGTGACTAAAATGCCCTTACATGCCTAATATTGGAATATTTTTCTAATATAGCTAAAATCGTGAATAACCATGATGTTACAGTTCTTGAATACTCCGCTGATGTATTTGAATCCTAAATTATCCTGCTATATAAGCTCTCGAATGTCTGATTTGATATGTTAGTTGTCGAGCCCTTTAATAGAGATCTCATTCGTGAAATCAGTTCGAAATCTATATAAAGTTTTTCCTCCCATTTTCTTATAACTACCAAGTACTCCTGAGAAATAAATTGGGCCATCTAGTGTGTTCCATGCTCATTTGATTATTTTCTCGAGTTAAAAATGAGACTATTTCCTCTGATTTTAAACGCGTGACTCTGTTTTCTAAAATAAAAATACAATAACTGATTTATGTTTTCTGATACAAAATATATATGGGTCATGATTTTATGATATTACAGTTTTACTATTCCGGGATTTGTTACCATTAGAGGAGGTATCTCAGGCTTAGTCTATGACTTGTAAGACTTTACCGTAGTCTCCTCTACTTTGTGCACAGGGTAAGTCCTTACTGCAGGCCCTTATGCTATAAGTATAAGGTCCTTATCGGGTATATAGGTGGGTGTATGATTTAGGGGAACCTATACTTCTGGCATTCGGATAGAGGGTGGTAAGATGATTTTTTTAAAATTAAAAATATATCGTAACTTTAAAAGTCTGTTTTATTGAAATAAACTATTACAATTTGAAACTATATATAAGTTTTCTCTACATATACTTCCCGACTATTACTCTAGAGATCAATTAATAAGATTTCAACTCTTCTCTAGAGCCTATAGTTACCGACATCACTAAAGAATTTTCATGTATTACTTATATTTGTTTGTCCTTTAGTCTCATTTGGTAGTTTTATACTATTGAGTTTTTCCAAAGCTCACTCTATTACTTACCATTTCAAGTTAAAGGAAATGATTTTGTGTTTTTACCAACATGAATGAAAATTTCATTGGCGTTGCTTGTGGAGTACGGTAACTATAGGTTTCAGACTTTAATATATATATTAAAGACTGTAACCTTTTTTTTTTTACATTATGATCGAATTCTGTTTTAATATTTGAATGTATTTATATATTGAGAATGTCTTATGATTTTAAAGTTTATTGGTTAAAATTTCATTTTTTCCGTATCATTAATGTGGGTTGTTTCAGTGACCATAATGTGATACTTCAGATTAGATCAGATCACCCGTATTAATCTGAGTGCTACAGAAACCAAATTATAAAGTGATAACTCAAGTATTTCAAATTATAGAAGAATCAAATTAAAACAAAGAAGGAAACGAAAAATTACACGAGATAAAATCAAATCATCATGTTCTATAGAAAAGAATATGATTTTTTTAATTAATCACTGGTATCCGATCCATTGACCGACTAATCCAGATCAAATACTGCAGAGGTGAGGGCGACCCTCCCAACCCAATTTGCTCCATTCGAAACGTCTGGAAAAGAATATAATCTTTAACCGAGAATATCTCAAATTAACATAAAGCAATTAAAAATTTAGGAAAGGTGTGAGAAATCAGAGGTTGAATGAAATCAGCAGCCAAACACAACAGCAAACAAATAGAAATCAAGCCCTCAATTACAGCACCGTATAATATTCTTAATTTATTAATAACACGTACATCCTGTAAATGTAATTATTCGAATTCAAATATTTTAAAGAAAATATAATCTCTTTTATTACTAAAATTACTCTATAAATTCTGAAATTGTAATTATTAAATTATTAAATTTGATGAAATCGTAACTTTTAAAAAGGAAATGAAATTTAGAAAATAATCGAAACGTAAATTTATTGCTGACAAAATCTCATTTCGATCTAAGGACTGAAATTATTTTAATTCTCGTAGTTATATTCTGCTACCCAACAATTATTTAAAAAAATATCACCTATCATTACGACAAATTTCATCAGCAAATTGGAGTTCATCAAACATGCCATCATAAACGAGTCGTTTATTTTGTTGATGCACTGCTCCGACAATAGTTATGCCGGTTCCCTTCAGTATTGGTATGCAGAGAGTTGCATCGGTGTAGAAAACGGCATATTCGCCGGGAACGGTGTAATCGGCTCCATTAAAATGGAATGTTAAAGACGCAAAATCATTAAAATTGGGTGGGATGTTATAACACAGCTCCAATCCTCCTGGACGTGTTGGTATAGCTGTAAATCCTTTTGACCCATAATAGCCTCTAAACACTTGCATCACTCTCTCGTATGGATTCATTCCACCAACTGAGTTGGAATCGATTAGAGTGAACAGAGATACCGAGTCAATGATGCAACCACCTTGCCCACCTCCTCTAGACTGCAAAATTTAGTGATGAGTTTACGATTATGTCACCTATTTATCTGGAATCGAAATAATTCGAATAATGTTACCTGAAAAGCAGATGGAGGCAATCCTAGACGATAATCACCAACACTTATATCCAACAATTCCACGAAGAAATGATGGTCGCCAGCTCTTTGCACAAACAATGTTGATTCAGCGTGAGGCAACTCCGGAATGTCTTGTCCGAACTTTAGAAGAAGTGTGTCGGGAACTAGCTCAGTAAAAGGAACGAGGCAGTATGAGTATCGAGAACGAGTTTGAGCGGCAAACTGTTGCATCATAGATTCCGGCGCAAAGTTCAACCCGAAGATCCCCGAAACAGCGGTGTTCTGAAAGAAAATGTTATCGTTATCATTACCGCAACCGAATACAACATTTTCAAACGTTTGCATATGATATTCGTCAATATAGAAAATAAAATCTTCCGACGACATAACCCCCGCAGTGGAGGCTCCACCGAGATATCCGTATTGGTAGACGCATCGGTTGTTTACACAAGAATAGGGCCTTCTTTCGCCATTGCAGAGAGGATGAGTACAAGGAAGTGTGGCATAACTGGAGGAAGCTCTAGAATCAAAAATCGGAAGAAGTTGTTTAAAACAAGTTAAGCAAGGTTCACATTGCGTCCAAATGAGACCACTACCGGTGTCCAACAACAACTTCACTCGGTGTGCTGGGCTTCCTATCGAAAACGTTACGATATAAAATAAACCATCTCGTAGTATCGGAATTCGAATATTATCAGGGAGTATCGTTCCATTGAGACTCGACATTAGATACAAATAGTTGGCTCTAGCATTGCTAACATTGATCAATCTTTCTATCCTTTCAGGTACACTTAGATCCTGAATACGGAACATAGGAGACCCCGGAGAATCATCTACGCAAGCCTTTAAGGTTAGGCCGGTACGATTTGCAGTCGAATATGCGAAATGGTGTTGGAACACTAATGTAACACAAAGGTAAAACAACACTTTAACATTCACAAAACCAAGGGAAGAAGACATTTTTGAAGTGAAAAGTATGCCTAGAATGCAATGGTATGGTTTTGTTTCTCTTTATAAAGCAATGGTATTGTACCACATTTATAGAAATCAGGTATTTTACCATAAATTAATATTAATTCAATGTATTTTTCTTGTTTTTGGATTTTCATTTGCTCCCATTCCCACTCATCTTTATTATACAAAATGTATGAACATTAATGCCCTCTGATTTTGGAATTTTTTGAAGTATGAGTGAGCTCTACCCATCTGTAATAAATAGTATTATTTCTTTTATTGTTATTTATTATCAGTCAATTATATTTAAAACTTGGGATGAATAATTTAATGTTTTAAAGGAAAACACTTGTACAGGGCATTGATGGGGACATATTTGGAGGCTGAAGCAGGGGAGTTCGGTCCTTATCTTTAGGGTAACCTTTTCTCTTTTTTACTGTATAATCCTCGGTGTTCCTAATTTTTATTGTAATTAATAAAAATGAAATTATACAAAATATCTTACATTTATTTAATATTTTTTATTAGTTTAGGATGATTACAAAATAATATATATTTTATAATCTTTCTTAATTATTAACATTATACACACGATATAATTGTTTGAATTCATGACTTCAATAAAGAATAACACTCGCTTTAATCACTAAGTTTCGTTCTTTAGTTCAATCTAATAAATTTTTAGATGTCTTTAATTTTTCTCAAAAAATATAAAATCTTTACTATTTTTATGTGTTTAAATAATTTAAAACCATATTAATAAAATTAAAAAACCAATTCAAATATGTTTTATCTACCAAATCAAAGTTTGAGTTTAAAAAGAATTGAAGTAGAAAATGAGAAAAAGGTGTGGAGAAAAATAATGTTTTTACACACTTATGGACGATAGGGTTGGTAACATCTTTTGTTCATTGTTATGAGTAACTTTTTTATTAATTTAATTAATTAAATATATTATAAAACAAATTCATATTTTCTTATTAATATATTTATAATAATGTTATTAAACTTTTGTTACTTTTATATTTCTAATGGAGTTGTTATTTATTAAATTAACAAAAATCCCATACCATAATTGTTAGACGCTTAATCCAATAATTCCAAGTCCTAAGGTCATCTCCAACCCTCATCTCTACTCTACAACATCTCTATCTCTACTCTAAAGATGAAACAGTAATTCATCTCTAGCACTATCTCTAAATTACCACCAACTCTACTTTATTCACAATATTTAACTATTAGTATGTTTATTTATCTAATTTCAATATATTTTTATCTATCGTGCAATTTAATCTACTTGAATTTATTATATTATGTTTAATTTTTATTTTATTGTGTAGAAATTACAATAAAAAAACATAAGAGAAAGAATAAGAGAAAATAATGTAACAAAGAAAATAAAAAGAAAAAGGAAATAACAAAAGAAAGTAAAAAAATCATAAATCATAAAAATAACAAAATAATAATAATATGAGCGCAGCTACAGTGCAACTCTAGATGTAGAGTATCACTGTAACTTTTCTCTACTCTAGCGTTGAAAGTGGAGATGGGCTGGAGTTGAAATTCATCTCCAAAGTGGAGATTTTCTCTACTCTAGCGATGCGCTGGAGATGGTCTAAAAGAGAGTTGTTAGGTGATGCCAAAATCAACGTTGATTTGGCATGCGGAGGGAACTGTGGAATGGAATTGATTGAGTAAAAGGGATTAGGGGTGTAAATGAACAGAGCGTTCTGTGAATTGTTCGTGAACCGTTCGTATAACATTCATTTAAGTTTGTTTGTTGAGCTAAATAAACGGATATGAACAAAAACAAGTATGTTCATTTAATAAATGAACGAACACGAACAAAGGTGTGTTCAGTTCGTTTTTGAGCTCATTTATAAGCTTGTTTATGAGCTCATTTATCGACTCGTTCATTTATGTTCATGAACAAACTCGCTTACCCGATTCTCCTTTTCCTTTTATTTTTTTACGTTTTAAATATTGGTGAAGATAAGGATTAAATAGAACACGTGATAAAAGTTGCATTTCAAACTGTGAATTTTAAGGAGTTTAAGCACCATATGCATAATTTTATCATTTTTTCATTAGCCTGCAAATGAAATTAAAAATCGAATATATAAACAAACGATTAAAAACACTAAAACAACACTAAATTAACATTAAATGAATGCTAAACGAACACATTAGCGAACATATAAACGAACACGTTCGCGAACATTAAATGAACATGTTCGTGAACAATAAACTAACGAACACTAATACCTTCAAATATAAATAAACGAACATGAACATAATATTAAAAATTTAAACAAACACGAACTAATAATCGTCGTTTTGCTATCAAAAATAATTTCGTCTTCTTTAATAAATAGAAAGGGAAAGTAGTATAGAGAAGCAGGGTCGATCCACAGGGACTGTGGTGTTTCTGATTTAGTAAAGCTCTTTCTTGATTTTAGAAGAAGATAGAATTCCAGATGAAATTGAAAAGATAGAAAAAAATAAAATAAAAAAGGGAAAATAATAAAATAATAAATAATGATTTTAAAAATAGTAATAAAGATAAAAGAGGGTTTTAAATTATTTAAAGAAATATAATGAGATAAAAATTAAATAAACAAATAAATAAAATAAATAAATTGAGATAAAGAAAACTTATGGTGAAAGCAGCCTCAGACTTCAACTTCGCCTCAAATTCCTCAGATCATCGAAACATATTTTTACTTCAAGATTCACGTCAGCTTACAAAGACAATTCTTCGCTGCCAACTCGGATTGTGTCGTTTCAATGATAATTGATTCCGATCTCAGTTTCCTCTTAGCAAACAATTTTGCTAAGTGTGTTATCGGGAAGTTGAATATGCTTCAATAAGCAAATCCTTCTTCAAACGTTAACCATAAAAATATCCAGACCAATGTCGAAATCGTTTTGATTCGAAAAGTAAGCTCAGAAAACAGAGAGAAAATCTGAAACGATTTAAGTACCTTACAATTTTCACATTTAGAATTGAGCATTCGCTTTAATCTTCGACTTGAAAGAAAATTAGCTAAGCATGACCAATGTTATACTTAGCATAATTGAAAAGTATGCGAAAAATAAAGAGAGAAAAATATTTTATTCTCAGATGAGATATATATGTTTCTAGGCTTACCCTGAGAGGGTATTTATAGCCTTCAAATTCCTAAAAACAAGCTAAAACATCTTAAATCCTAATTAAAACACTTAAAACTATTTAAACTAAATTCTTTAAAAAATAATATTCTAAATCCTAATTAAAATACTAAAACCTAATTAAACTAAAATACCTAAAACAAAGATAAAATATAAAAATAATATCCTAAAACTTAGTTAAAATACTAAAACATATTTAAACTAAAATACAAAGATAAAATATAATGTTTAAAATATTATCCTAAATTTGAGTTTAATTCAAATCCGAATTCCAGCCAGCTTTAATTGCAAAAATAAAAAATCTACAGAATTCTGTCATTTTTGTGCAATTTTCAGAATCTAACGTCCTGCACAGAAAATGAATCAAAACGAACAATTAAGACACAAAAACCAATGATTAAGGAGTAATTTAAAAGCCAAATATTAACTAAATTAAGCACTTATCAAATTCCCCCTCACTTATTCAATGTTTGTCCTCAACCATTCATCAATTAATAAATCCAAATCACAAGTTGCATCTTCAATTTATTCCTCAAACTTACAATCGAACTAAGTCCATGATATTTGCCTAATTCAAGTAACAATCAAGCAAAGGTACAACCAAGAAAATTTAAAGTAAGCAAGATATCTCAATTAATTGCCAACTTAAATGAAACATGACTCAATACCTCACAAAGATTCACACATATTCACTCAAAGTGTTTGGGGTAAATGAAATCGCTCAAACTGAAACTAACCAAAATATTACCGTAGGCTTGGAATCCAATCAAGTCTCCACTGTGAAAAATGAACATAATGCAATAATTAAGGGGTCTTTAAACAAGGTGTAACGGAGCTTAGGTTAGGGTAGGGAAAATGCTGAAAAGAATGGTTTAAAATACCGAAACAAGAGATCAAAATAATTAAGAATAATCCATGTATTAACATGAAGCGCAATGAAGAACAAAACAAGGAAAAAAGAATAGATGAAAGACAATTGAAACGATCGATTTTTCCTTCCCTTTTTTTTCGAACAAGGGTTTTTTTTATGTTCAAAACAGTGAACAATTTGTTTTTTTCGATTTTTTTTGAAACACAATTTTTTTTCTTTATTCGTGGAACAAGAGTGATTCAAGATCTCAAGTCTTGGTAAGGGTGTGAAAAGAGGGGAAAATAAAAAGAAAGGCTTTGGGTTTAATTATGAGGTGTAAAACAAAGAAAATGAAATAGACTCAAATTTGGTTCACTAGTGGATATATAAACGAGTAGGTTTTTTGGGAAAAGTGGGTTTATCCTAGGTGCCCCTATCACATTAAAACATTACGTTCAACATGTAGTCTCAATATGCATTGTGATTACAAGTTCTAGAATATCCTAATTAGTTCGACACACACAAGTCAAACAATGAGCAAGATAGAAAATGTATGCTCGTTAGGCTCAAATCTCACAAGAAAAGTTTATGTGCATTGAGTCAAGTTCATCTCTATCGACAAAAGCATGAAATATCAATACTCAACAAAAAATTCACCAGCTATACCAATCACCAATCATGCAAAATAAATTCGATCAAAAACATGGTCATAATCCAAAAGGAAGCAAGAATATAAAGCGAAATTCAAGACTAGCCACCAACGATCCCAACATATCCACATCAGAATAACTCAATTTCAAACAATTGAACAAGTCAAGGAAAAATTTGACGCATGCTTATCCTTCCCCCCTCACTTAATCCATTTTGTCCCAAAACATATGTCGAATTTAAAAACAAAGAGAGGGAAAAGGAATACTCCCCAATCTAGTGGTGACCGCGACCACGTCGAGACGAGCTGTTGTAGAGTAGAATGTCCGATATTGCA